CGCGTCGTAGTTGACGAAGGGCGCCCACACCGACGGCTCGGTCACGCGCGGCTGGCCCACGGCCATGTCCACCGTCTGGCCGACGAAGGCGGTCGCGGGGGCGTCCAGCTCCAGCGTCTGGCTGGCTTCATCGATGCGCCAGCGCAGCGGGCCGGCGCTGGCGAGCAGCACGTGGGTCTCGCCGTCGATGACGCGGGGCGGGCCGCCCGTGGGCAGCCGCAGGTGCATCTCGTCCCAGTTGGATTGCGGGATGGCCAGGCCTTCGCTCAGGCGCACCGCGCGCAGCATGCCGTCCTGCGGGATGCCGTTGACCTTGAGCGCCAGCAACAGGGTCTCCCCCCAATTCACGCGGGAATCGGGCCGAGGCGTCTGCGCGGTGGCCAGGGCGGCAATCAGCAGCAGCGCGACCAGCGCCGCCAAGCGCCGGCCGAGGTCAGGGCTTGGCCCCGTCCACGTCATTCAGGGCGACCTTCTGCACTCCGTCTTCGGTCTGGACCTGCATCTGCGTCGCCTGCGCCGTGGCAGGCAGGCGGAAGGTGCGCTGCTCGCCCGGGAAGATGACCGACGCACTGCCCTTCTGCGTCACTTTGGCCAGGGCCTGGCCGTTCTCGCCCTGCAGGCTCAGCTCGGCCACCTTCAGGTGGACGTTGCCGGTGTTGGCCACCTGGGCCAGCAGCTCGCCACTGGCGGCGCGGGTGAGCTTCCACTGCTCGCCGCGCTTGACCTGCGCCGGCGCCACGTAGACGGGCACCCGCAGCGCCACAAGCACGCGCACGCTGCCGGCCACGTTCATGTCGTCGGAGGGGCGCGGGATCGGCACCTCGCGCAGCACGATGCGGTAGGTGCCCTCTTCCGTGCGCTCGGTCGTGCGACGCAGGCCCAGGCGCAGCACCTGAGTCTGGCCCGGCTGCACCGTGAAGACGGGCGGGTTGACGATGAGGTCGGTGGTCGGGCCATCCACGTCCAGGCCGCCGACGCGGGTCCAGGAGATGGCTTCGGCCTGCATCAGCACGGGCTCCTGCCCATTGTTCATGACCTGCACGGTGGCGCGGTCATTGGCACGGTCGAGTTTGACGTTGACGGGGGTCAGCGTCACGTCGGCTGCCTGTGCCGTCGTCGACAACAGGGGCAGCAACGCGAACACCCACAGGGCCAGCAGTCGCAGCGGTCGCGGCAGTCGCACAAGGCACGTCATCACTAACCTCCTTCAGTAGCTGACAGTCACCGTCACGGTGTCGGTGTAGCTCCCCGGGACGACATTGGCAAGTGAGGGCAGACGACCGTAGATGGTCAGCGTCTGGGCGCTGCCCGTGCCGGTGCCGGCCGAGGTGCTGCTGCTGGCGGTGCCGTCACCCCAAACGGTGGAGCGGCCGGTGTCGGTGTAGAGCTGGTAGCCCAACGTGCGGACGCCGCTTTTCATCGTGCGGGCCGCGAAGTTGGACGCGCCACCGGCGTTGGTGCCGGCGTTCAGCGCGACGGTATAGGGCGTGGTGTTCGTGCACACGACCGTCAGCGTGGACGTCGCGTCGACCGGCGTGGCCGTGGCCAGGGGATCGATGCTGGCGCCGAAGTTCAGCGTGGTGCCGGAGACGGTGCAGGAGCTGGTGACGGTGGCTTGGACCTGGAAGGTGTTGCCCGTGGTCGCGGCGGTGGCCAGTGCCGGGGCCAGCAGGGCGGCCAGCACGGTCAGCAGGGGGCGAACTTGGCGGGTCGTCGTGGTCATCGTCATGTCTCCGGGGGTTGATTTGAAGGCAGTTGGCGAGAGGGTCAGTGCAGAACTTGTGTGTTGCACTGCCTGTTTCTCGATGGATGTATCTTCGAATCAAGCCCGTTTTTGAGGCAGTGGGCGATGCCGGTATCTCAGCGGCGCGATTCCTGTGAGCCAGCGTAGGTCGATTGCCTACACGCCCCACAAGCTGTGGCGTAGTTGGCAATTCGACGGCTCCGGCCACCTGGCCGCAAGCATCCCGCGCCGATGGCGGGCGGGTCAACAGGCGCGGCGCACATCCACGTGCAGGCGCGGACTGGCGCCGGGCGCCCCAAGCCGGCTCGCAGGCGATGCTTGCGGCTCGATGCCGCAAGCATCGCCGTCCCCTAGGGAACCGACTGGGCTTGCCCGCGTTGCGCATGGCAAGACCGGACGAGGGTCCTTCAATAACTGATGGTCACTGTGACGGTGTCGGTATAGCTCCCGGGAATGACGTTGGCGAGCGACGGCAGGCGGCCGTAGATCGTCAGGGACTGCGCGCTGCCCGTGCCGGTGCCGGCCGAGGTGCTGCTGCTGGACGTGCCGTCTCCCCAGACGGTGGAGCGGCCGGTGTCGGTGTAGAGCTGATAGCCCAGCGTGTTGGAGCCGCTCTTCATCGCGCGGGCGCTGAAGTTGGACGCGCCCCCGGCGTTGGCGCCGGCGTTCAGCGCCACCGTGTACGGCGTGGTGTTGGTGCACACGACGCTGAGCGTGGACGTCGCATCCAGTGGCGTCGCGCTGGCCAGCGGGTCGATGCTGGCACCGAAGTTCAGCGTCGTGCCGGACACCGTGCACGCACTGGTGATGCTGGCCTGCACGGGGAAGGTGTTGCCGGTGTTGGCCGCCTGGGCCAGCGCAGGCACCAGCAGTGCGAGCAGGACGGGCAGCGTGTTGCGAATCGCCTTCATGGAGTCCCTGGATGCGTGGAATGTTCGGTAGAGATCAGAGCGCGCCGAAAGCCGTGGCTTCGG